TGAGTTTGCTTCGGCATTCCAATCTACATTTTGCTGTTTTATCCAAATGGGCAACCAAAACCGGCGAACGAAAGTGCATGGTTAATGGTTGTAAAACTGAAACTGAAACTGACCACCACCATGAACAGGAAAGTATGTACATGGTTCGCATGCCTATTGGTTGGTTAGGAAACAGGTTTTTGCCAACTCTTAGGTAAACTCCCAGTGGTTCACCCACCCAGTCATAGTCCCGAACATTGGCTTTTCATCCTCTCACCTTGGTTTGACTACACCTCCACGAGAAGGCAGTGAGTCGGGCTTTCTCAGCAGAAACTGTTTGAGACGCTTGATCGTAAGGGATCATTTCGCAAGATCCAAGGCTTTCGGACGGGGTTACGCAAGGTTACGGAGAGGTCACATTAACTATAGTCCAAACAGTGAACCAAGCAAACCAAAGTCCACTAATCATTTTAAGAACGAAATAAGAAACCAGGCATTGGACGAGGTGAAACGTCTATGGTGCCCAGTCGAGCCGGTGACCACCACCACAGCCTGTATGTGTAGGTATGGTTCTTACAGCTCTTGTTTGGTTTCGAATCAGGGGTTTTAACCAACTCCTCTAGATGAACTGCCAGTGGCTCGCCGATCTAGATGTTGGCTTTTCGTCCTCATACTGTGGTGGGAAAACACCTTCGTACAAGCAAGCATCAGACTCTCTGGTGAGACATTTCTACTCACCGCGTTCATTTAGCGGAGGTATTTTCCTATGGAATGAAATCCGTGGCAATTAGGATCATGAGGCCGGAGTTGTGAAAACAACATAATCTGGTTTAAGGGCTGCTATTATCCTGACCGTAAAACTGATTGTTCCATATTTCTGTGGCACCATTTCTCATTCTGGTCCTCTCGTTTACTGATTCTGTTGATATTTTCACTCGTGTTTTATTTATTCGTGTGTAACATCTATATGATGCACGCTTCACATTTTTCACTCTGCTTTTGCCTATCCATTTATTGCAACCCCATTGCTCGTTAATCAAACATCCCGCACGCGCACATTCATTCAACCCCAGGTTCTAATGTTTACATGAGAGTAACGAAGGATTTGATTGAAATTCTAAAAGGGAATTTGTCGAGTATAGAGCAAATGAAGCGTGGACTGAAAGGCTAGGAAGCAGCTGTGCAGCTGCTCTATACACGACGAATTCCGTCTGTTATCAATCTATTGAATAGCCAAACCTTACATAAGGATGCCCGAAGCGATATTTCAGAGCGAACGAATAAAGCCAATCGGCCCATAACCTCAGGGGGATTATCAAAGCCATGGTTCATTGACCTGATCATCCAGTGCTAGTTAGACTTCTTGGTTGGGGGATCTTGGTACTGGTTTAATCTCAGTATGAATTAGTTGAGTGTTGTAAACGTTGATACTGGTGCATCCACTCACTACCATTGCGCATGTTACCTGCACCCTATATCCTTTTTTGCAACTGCTGTAAGCTTTTCTCTGTTATGCTTACTTTTCCTCCACTGATCGATCAAATGGGTAGCGAAAACACAATAGCTGAAACCGGTGCACTAAGGTGCATGGTCAGCAATTGTGCAAGCTGAAACAAATGGATTTTTATACTATCATTGGTATAAGTGATGAAGTGTAATATTCAACCATCAAAATGGAAACATGGTATTATATTTGAATGACTTTTACTATAGTTTCTTATATTCTGTTCGTTATTTTTCGGCCTCCAGCATTTCTAAAATAATATGGGAAATCAGGTTGCCGGTTTAACGCCACCACCTTTGGTGAACGTTGAGGATTGCCTGTCGGATATGACTAACACAGTGCGGTTTGAGGAAGAACTTTCGGGATCTCGGCTGTTCAAAGTTGCTAAAGCAAAGTGCGTTCGCTCAAGTCAAACATGTTTGATCTCCATATTTTTTGACAGGCGTATCGATGATGGAAGTTCTCAGCTCCTCGTGTTGAAAGTTTTCTCAAGCCCAAACGCACTTCAAATATTTTCTGCTTATCGGCCTTTGGTACAGGCTTATTGTCGGCAAATAGCGGGTGGTCATAATCTGCTATCGTTCACAGTGTAAGCGTAATGTTAAATTAGAATTTTTCTCCATGCTCACCAGTTGTTAAGTTTTTATTGAAATCAGTATGGAAAGAAGTTGTAGATATGTAAAATTTCTTTTCACGCTCTCTCATGAAACGTTACACTCTCTCATTTGTGAAGTCGGTTGCAATTGTTTTGCTTTTGTTTTAGATCTGTCAGTCTGTAGCCTGTTTGTCTTCAAGACTTGATTGTTTCTAGAGTACATGATTTGATATTAACATAATCACAAGGTCCGAACTAAAGGAAAAGTCCTTTTTCTACCAGATTACTTCAGTTCAACTTCTCGATCACCCAACGTTGCAAAACTACGTCATTAATGTATGCAGCTACTTTGTCCAAACGGCTTTGTACCTTCACAATTGTGTAGATATGAACATTATTCTGATGAAGATAAAAATAAATTTAAAACTTGAGACCACCCAATCACCAGGCCTGTGTTCCAACGTGCTCTGTGCCACTTGCCCGTGTGACAGTGGGAGCGAGCCACGCGTGTTCCCACTTCATCGATGTTCTGCTTTTTGTTATCTAGTCTTTTTGTAGTCCCGCTTACACCTTCTTTGCAAATTTTATTCAAGGTCCCCTTTGAGTGGCCTAGAGTTTCATTTTAAACGCCAGTAGAATTTCACCGGAACTACACTTCAATCACCTTTAAGCTAACCCCTTACTCGCGGATAGAATCTTGTTCGTGTTGTAGTTCAATGCGCGCCTTTTTTATTACACACTTTCGTGTGATGAACAGAAGATAGGGTAAACCCCATAATCACGAAGACCTGCTGTTCAGTGATGGAAACCGGTAACCTAAGCCTCGGGACTTTGAGTAGTGAACCACATAAGGCCCCGATAGGAAAGTCGTGGTATTAAACCGGACGACCTACCTGCCTACCACCTATCCAAACTGATCATGTTTTCTGTGTATAAAGCAGGTGATCGGCATAATGAATCGATTAGACTGTTCTGATCTGTATTGTACTGAATTACCCTCGACCATTCTGTTTAGCGCGAAATCGTTCCGGATCTAACAATCAAATTGGTCGTACAGTATCACAAAACAGCATCAGGTATTTGTGACACACCAAGTTACACCATGAAAGTGGGAGTTATCGTTCGCGGTTCGACCAGTTTCACGTCATATTTCAGTGGCATGAACATTTCGTGACCCAACGAGTTGTATGGGATGGATTTTGTCTAGCTAAATGTCTGATCCTATGAGAAAGTCCAAACGGTGGAATTAGTTCAGTCTCCCCGTCCTCAAGGTTGTTCTTCCAACTCTAGTTGATGTCCTTGGTTGTGAAAATAATGCGGGAGTAATCGGTAAACCTGTTTCGCTATACTCGCTTCCTTGTCAAAGCTGGAGCATATGCATCAAGTGATGCACAGCGAAACGAGTTGTACAAACTGAACCGCAGCTTCAATATAATTATGGTGGAAGCTGATTTTAATACGCAAGTTTGAAAACTGGACTCATCCACAGCTTGTATAGGGGTTTGGCTTGCTCTGCCCCCCCCCTGCTAACAGATAATAATGATCAACCGTTTCACTGCTGCACAGGTAGTCGGTTTTTGTTTTCTTATACCAACTTTTGATACAACTCTCGATGGACGAAACACGGTGTTCTAGTTCAACGGATGAGTTTATGAAATTGACCACAGCTGTAAGCTACCATTGGGGTGGCTTAGTACAAAATTACAGATCCTGTTGAACCATCTTCTTTCCCTCTCATCATTCACTGGTTCTGATCATGAAGTTTCTAAGCCATTTACACTCGCAATCAAAATCAGAAGTATTAATTTGAGTAGTTTTTCTATCCGAGATAACAGCACGTCACAGTAAAGTGAAACATGTGTACCAGGTTTATCTGTCCGGATGCAGTGAAGTGCACTACTTTACTGTGTATTGTCGAAACGAAATCAATTAATAATAATAATTTTAGTGGGATGAGCTTCTTAACGTTCGCGAAATACGATTCGAATTGGAATGATTAATTGAATGCAATCGGTGATTTTTTCAGTGTTTATTTTTCCACCTTCAGGAACATCGCCGTTTCTGAAAGGAACATCGTATTGAAACGTGACTTCATTGATCAGTCTTTGGTGGATCGTCTTTGTATCCGACCGTTTCTCTGTTTAGAGGAAAAGAAATGGATTGCATTTCAACTGCTTTGCGCCCTAGCTCAACTTCATCGTTCTTCTGTGAACATACCTTCCGAGAAAGAGATTGGATCTGGAGACTATGCCGCTAGGCGTGTTGGTCTGGTGCGTGTGAGTTTCCCCATGAGGCTTGAAGTTTCTATCTTACTCGGTTCAATGTGAACCAACTCATTGACCAAACTATTTTTACTTGCAGCTATGAACATTTGTTGTCTTCATAATCGACAGCGGTGGTCGGCCTGTGTATCACAATTTAGTTCAAACAACGCAAGACACGTAAGAGATCGTAAACAAGAAATAGGCTATATTTATTCGGCTGCATTCGAGTAGCGTTTTATGATTTGAAGCTAATTAACTGTTCAAACCTCTTCCATTTTCGATTGAAATGTTTATTTAGAAAAACAATCAAGCTTTCCCCTCTCCTCTCATATACCTTCCATACCAGCCACTCTGCCATGGAGATATTAAGGGTGAAAATGTACTGCTAACATCTTGGGGATGGCTGTTGCTTACGGATCCGGCTCCTTTTAAACCGTGCCAACTACCGATTGACAACCCCAGTGAATTCACGCACTACTTTGACTCCTCTAGGCGACGTGTTTGTTACTTGGCCCCAGAGCGGTTTGTCCACGTAAAGCGGTCATCGATTGTAGCACCCGAGGAACGCTCAACTGTGCTAGGAAACGTAAGTGATTGATGATTTTTGTTTCTTACCTAGTCTATTTTGCCTGATTTTCGTCATACATATACTGGTTGATCATAAGCCAAAACACGGTGTCTACCATATGTCCTCAAGCCGTTCCATAAAAAGGCAATTGGAACAATCAACTGATTGAGAATATCATTGCTATGACAGGGAGGCTGAGGTGTTTGAGGAAAACAGTATCCATTTATTAAGGGTTTACGCAGATGTGCATATAAAGAAATATACGGTGGGATATTCAATCATATGGATTATACTGTAGATTTCAGTTATGGCCTGCGACTTAATTACAATTGCATATTTACCATTAAGTTGTTAATCGGGTGAGCAGTGGTTAGAGAGTGGCGATTTCACTTCGGCTGCTAGTTGATCACTATGGTTACAGTCCAGTTATCAAGTGATTCGAATGCCTCCACTGGTTGCTGTTCGAAGGATACCATTAGTTTGATGAAAAGCCTACGGTTGTCTCATTTTTCTCTCTCACCATCCACCTATATGATTAATTTCTGGTTTATGTTACTTCAACACTCCAGTCAAATGAGGCAGTTCGTGTTTTTGTCGTACCTACCTCCCGGCTAGTCCAAACGTGGTAATAATTAAGTGCACATCTCATCAAATAGGTTCAGAAATACGCAATCATTGATGGACTCTTCTACCTGGTAGGTCGGGGAAACATTTTGACTTGAGAGCATCGTATCCTGGTCAGGTAAATGGATATTATGTTGAAAGGTTAACTTCATTCCTACGATTCCGGCCAGTGACAAGCATCACTTCAAGGCCAACCATAGTTTTATATATGGCATAATCCACTTGAATCCGTCCTCTGATATATATCAAATTCACATAACCCGAGTATATGCTTTCATACCCATGCAGGTACTATTGAGCTGTGACTGCACTTCGGTCCTCTAGTCCAAGTCGTTCTGGGTTTTTGCCTATCTGTCGTAACTGTGCTTAGATTTCGGTTTGAACTAATTTAAGAAAGCAATTTAAAAGTGCATTGTGAACGACGATAATATTCCTGTAACTGAAATAGTCGTTTTCTACAATGATTTCTTCGAGCGCGCTATCCAGTCCCCGAGCTTGTTGTTGTTGCTGTTGGTGGTTGTGTGAGTTGAGACGAAATGGATATTGAACTTGACGTTTTTTTATTTCCTCACCTGTGGTGAAGTGATAGACTATCTCACATGGTGTTATGAGTACCCTGGTTCATCTCACAGGTCCATTGCACAGCTCATTTTTGAAATACCTACTAAGTGCAGGTGTGTATGCAGTTACAGCTATTTAAGTACGATAACAACAAACACGGAGTTGAATACACTACAATGGTTCATTCACTGATTACAAATCCAATCTAACAGGATGTTGATGTTCTCTGATGTCGTCCTACTTCTGATGATAGTAGTCATTCTAATTCACGTATTCCCTCGAATCTCGTGGTTATACTAACTCATTGCTAGTAAAGCTTGCCAGTTTTATTGCCCAAATCCTTTACGTATTCTCTGAATAACTTTCTCGTTATTATATCGATTGTGGTGAAGACTCGTTCTTTCTATCCATTTAGATGTAGAGAAAATTGTCGCGGTGATTGATCATTCTCATCTATTCTTCCATCCAATTTATTGGCTCTTGTTTGTTCTATTCTGTTACCTGAGGAAACGTCAGTCGAATATTTTGTTTCCCAAGCTGAAATATGCTGTTGCTGTTCTAGAAGCTAGAATATCTTTCACATGCTGATACAGAACCGATTAAACTAAAGTTCAGTGCCTAGAACTCTTCACCTGATTTTGATAAATAGCTGACTTTANCTGACTTTACGGGCATTCCGATTTTCATTTTTCTTCAGATCCGAGATGTAAACATAAATACTCCTGCTGATACAACTACTGAATCGCAATCAAATTGTACGGTTGATGATAAAACTAACCGACCGGTCATGGTCCCTGAACAAGATGCAACCGATCGTAAAGTTTGGTCTTTGGAGCCCCACGATTCAGCGAATGATGCCCAGACGGGATCTAACCCACCGGAAACGTGGTCTCAACCACAACTTACTCTGGATCCCACAATGGATCTTTTTTCTGCCGGGTATGCTTAATGTTTTGCTCCTGTCTGCAGGCAGTGGTATCGTAGCTCCTAGCATCACATGTGCACTACTTCAGTCAAGTGCATCTACCATAATTTGGTTACTAGGCTGAATTTATGAGGGAATTCTGTTTGATGGCTCGTTTTAAATGTCACTATATTTGTCACAGGATTCCCCGTTGCCCTTGTGCATACGTCGTGCGTGTGATCAGTCGTGTCAGTAACCTTTACAACGGATGCTCTGGAGTGAAACAGAATTCTGATGGTGTTTAAAATTAAGTGGTTGAGGTAACTGACGAGATTTCATGTATTGTGATACGCTGGCGAATAACCTCTTAGTAAGTTTATAATCTGCGACTCGGGGCGTAAGTTTTTACCAGTAAACAGCGGACGCATCACGGATGAAGTGTCAGCTCGCATACAAAAGACTCGGTTGGCATTTGCCAACATGAGACATCTGTGGCGCCGTCGCGACATCCGGCTGTCTGTGAAGGGTCGATTATATGCTGCGGCAGTTCGGCCAGTTCTGCTCTAGTCGTAGAAACCTGGCCATTACGAAAACAAGATAAATATAGACTGTCGGTATTTGAACACCGCTGTCTACGCAGCGTTGCACGAATCTGGTGGGGCAGCCGGACGATCAGTGCTGAAGTCAGGCGCAGAGTTTTAGGTAACTGCGGTCGCCCATTGGAGCAAGTGGTCGACCTTGATAGATTTCGTTTGTTGAGGCATGTGTAACGCATGTCACGAGATCGATGTTTGCCGAGGCAGATAGTGGTTAGAATAAAGCCAATGGTGATCAAGCTAAGACCTGGCTTGAGGGTATGAAATCCCCAACCAGGAGACTAGGTCACATGAGTGCTGTTAGGCTCCCTGCTTGGGGACCTCGGGATGATCGTAACCGATAGTTAGAGATACTGAGTGATGTTGTTGAGTGTAGTAAAAATTGGCGTTCGTGCATCTCCTCAATTTCTTTTCAACCTTAGACCACTCAAGCTCTCCATTTTCTGTTCGACTCTACTTTCAACTTTCCTGTCCTCTCTTATTGTTCATCCAAATTGACAGCCAAAAGACAGCAACCAAAATCGGCGCACGAAGGTTCATGTTTAATGGTTGTAAAAACTGAACTGAAACAGTTTTTAAGCATTCCGCGTGAATCAGTGCTGATTCTTTGTTAGCTCACAGAGCTAGATGCTAGTAACTGTAGCATAGTTGACTAAACACCGTTTACATAATATGATTTTGTGGTAGTTTCTGAATGATTGAAGACGTTTTCTTTGAAAGTTTTTGTTATATATATATATATGTATGTATTCGAACAGTTTCGGAGTAATCAAAATGAAATAATCTCTGTGACTGAGAATCACTTCGAGATTTCGACGATAACAATTGCATTAATTACAAGAATTTCCTCCATTTAAATTAAGTGCGTCGTGTGCGGTTTTGATACTTGCGAACAGATTCCTTTATTGATCAAAAAAGTTCGTCAGGTGGTTTTTCCTTCATGGTCCTGAGTTTAACCTGATTCGAATCGAATTTCACACATCATGCCATTGTGCGTCCCGGAGTTAACCCGCATTCTTCGCCGTGTGTTCTGAATCACAGGACTTCATATGCTCGGATACCGGGATTATTACTTGAACGTGTGCGAGAAAATTAACTTGGATTTAAGTCTGTCCAAGACAGTGCTGACCATATTTTCGTTCTCCTGTATCTTAATATGCTGGTATTCCCACGGGACGTCCGCCTGTTTTCACTCATATTAACACGGCTCTCCACTCCTTTGATTGCCGTGCTCTTTGGTATTTCATCATCTTAAGCCTTACTCTAGGTTGGTTCATCAGTTTCACTGAAAACATTTTTCTGTACTACTTCGATGGCGACCTATTATGAGAAGAGCGATTCTTTTGAACAAAACCGTCANACCGTCAAAGGGTGATATATATGAGTGAAAGAACAGAATCGCATTACTACTGTATTACTTAAGTTGTCTTCTTGATCAGCGATGAATGGTTAGTAAAACAGTTGTCTAATTTTTGAATGGAACACAATGTAGCGAGCAAAACTTGTTCTCAGTGATTTGTCTTCTTTGGATAAAACATCAAAATTTATATAAGTCGATTAAAATCTGGTAGGGCGAAGATACTAATTACAAAAAATGACTACCTAAAATTAGTAAACTTGAAGGTATATAGATAATGTCAACTGTTTCTGGTGTGGTGCTTAGTCCGGATTAGCCGAATTTCAGGAGGGACGGGTGGAAATATTGTGGGTGGAGGGCCATGAGAGATAATGTCTTCACAAATTGGTTTGCCCACACAAGGGCGGTTTGTGAATGCGAATTCCCACTGCTTTCGTTCTGGCCTGGATGCGATGTTTACTCCGCTTAGATTGTTGTTTACAAACCTGGTTTAGGGGACGAAACTCTCTCCTCAAGAAAAACTAAATAACCTGACTCGATGATTTGTGAACACATTGGGCTGGCAATTGACTTTGTCATGAACTCTCTGAGTTAAGCGTCTACTCGTGCGATCAATGTACGTTGTCTAATTCTGCGAAAACACAAAATTGAAAGCCAGTGGCGTGTAGTATTTCGCATTGAGCATTCACATATGTGGATGCATAAATGAGAATGTTTCTTGGAAGCAAAGTACTCTCGTGTTGCGTCAGGTCACTTTTCCGTACTCGTTTTTGCCACGCCTCATTGCATCTGTGCGACCATTTTTCTTGTTCCCCAGANCTGTTCACCGATGGTTCGGTCGTGTTCACTCTGGCAGATCTTTTGAACTATCGGAGTGGTACGCAAATTCGTCTTTCAAATCTCCTCAGTCAGGTCACTTGTGAAGATACAAAGGTATTTGTTGTTCATCCTGCTCCACAGTTATGCAAAAACAATCACACTTGAAATATCGTATGGTTTATGAGCGAATAATCATTGTAACAATGCTTCGTGAACTCTTACCCCCGCTGTACAAGTATGGCCATTCGGGGTTTACGGTTTTCAAAGCGCTTTGATAAATTTGGGTTTCATTATACAGAAATTGAAGTTGTGTTTCTCTTGTATTGTGCGAACTATTCCGGCATAATCATCTTTGGACGCTTTAGTTCACTATTCCGTTTACCTCACTTCACTCCTGTTTAAATAACCGCTAATCTGGAGCCATAAGTGCCCTCACTGGTTGCTGTCTGTAAGAATTGACATGGAATTCTGGGCAAGGTAAACTCTCTGATACTAAGAATTCCAAAGGCATCATTGTGAGTGTGTTAGGGTCCGTCGTATGGCACGGATGTAGCAATGCACGAACACCATTTTTCTTCAGTTTGGGTGCATTCTGTGGATCTCAAGCACAATTACGGACAAAGTCTACGGAGTCTTACTAAGTAATCAAGGTTTTCATATAATCTAACCAGACCAGTCAGTTTTTCTCCATTGACTGCTGGTGTCAGCAATTAATGCCCATGGTGATTGTTCATCCCAATACGTTTGTAAAATGCCTGCTCCAGGCTCTAGGGATCATTCACCTTTGTGAGTGTCCAGCCATGATAGCTAGGTACTTTGAGCCTGATACCAGCAATGCTCTACCGGTGCTTCGAAGTCAACCGATAGACATGTCAAATGTTCGGCGTGTGATGGTCTAGAATGGATTGGCCGAATCCCCGCAGCATCAACGGGAACTCCGGTGGTTACTCAAATTTAACAGACCTTACCAGGCCAAAGGTAAACGAAGTTATTGTAGATAATTTGAAATATCAACTAGTGTTTGTCGGTTACGGAGGTTGCTGTGATGTCTGGAGGCAGCATCACGTCCATTGCGAACCTGCATTTTCTGTGTTTCATGCCAGTTATGTGAACCATCAATAAATACTAGAAGTGTTCTCACTTTCAATATTTAGTTGACCGTGGTATCCGGTGTAATATTTTTATCATTCGTCAGAGGAAATCGCCTTAAATAATAGACCTGTGTTTAACTGCCATCAAATTTAAGCTTCATATTTTTTTGTCTCAAAAATTAGCAACCATTCTTTACTTCTCTTTATTCGCGTAGAAACTTATCGTCAGTCTGTTGTCATTGGATCCAAAAGCCAGGGGATCAGCCGAGGGACAGTTGATGGAGCATAGAGGCAAGGTATTCCCTGATGTGTTCTACACTCACCTGATGCCTTACATGCAATCTTTCCTTTGCGCATCACTGGCCAATCCAACCAGGCGAATGTCCTACTTGCGGCAGTAAGTACTCGGTTGTTACGTGGTCGCATCATTCGTCTACTGCAGTGACAGACTGTTATATTGTTCAGTAGAGGTCAACGTCTGTCAGTTACACGCCGACTGTTGGGAATTCAGTAATTGGTCGATTTTCTTACATTTCATGGAACGGTTCGTTTTTAAACTACATATAAACCTTATTTTCATTCTTGCTTCAAAAGCTTTGCTTCTTTCCCTAATTTAATTTTCCTAGGGTTTTTGAATACCATCGCTTTTTAATTGCCTTCACGGTTACTTTCCTTGCTAAAACTCTACAAATGCAGTGTTCGCCAAAAAACAAAACTCATTCACAAAATTTTGACTCCATAATTCTGATTATTGTCTGATGAAATAGCTACCGTTTTCTCCGCATCTCTTCGATTCCAGGACGCTCCCGCTTTTTCTGAAAGAAGTTGAATCAGCCGGCTCAGAGGCTCTCCAAGTCTGCGCTGTCCTCATTTCAAATATAGTCTCTGGTGCACTGAGGCCTGTCGTTTCTACTTACATTACGCAAACGCCAAACACAGCCGCTACAGTTGGATCGGCAGACAAGGTCAAATCGAATATTGCCGTTCATCAGCCCTTTGTAGGCACTTCCAGACCACAACAATCGGCTCCAGAAATGTGCTTACAACCTTCAGATCGATATCTGTTTGAGTCTGGCAAAGTAGATGCATTGGTCTGCCTGCTAGAATTGTACGCTCACATTCCGCCTGCCTTGTTACTAGATCGGGTGATTCCCTATTGTGTGGATTTGACCACATGCACTCATTCGTCTGAAGTTCGTAGTCTGGCTTTGGATTGTCTTGTGCAAATCTTGCAGCACGTCACCGAAAAGCAACTCCCTTCTACTACCGGATCCGCCTCTTTGGAAGCATTTTTCTTGACCGAATATCTTTTCCCTACTCTGGCCTCTCTTTCCGTAGATCCGCGACCGGAAATTCGGTTGGCATACGCCCGATGCTTGCCTTCTCTTGCGGAAATCGCCCTTCGGTTAGTGCTTAAATTTTGGGTACTATATTGACTTTTCATTAACTCTGACCATCACCAACTGCCGAATGTAAATTTTGTATGCTATCAAGATATACCAGCCTGATGTTATTTGGGCGGTTTCAGTTTGTTTGCTAATGTCTCACTGACCTCTAAAAACACTGGGGGAAGCGTGCAGCTGTTAGGAGTCATCAATGATCACTGAATCAAATTGGATTCAGATCCAAACTCGAAGAATTGCTTGCCAGAGACTAAAATCGTGTAGGCTCTTCCAGCTGCCTCGGGATGCTTCTCTCAACCGTATCGATCCATCTAACCGTGCATTTCTTTTTCCCATGAACGCTGTTTGCCGTAGTCTTCCGAGGCCTGTGTGTTCATTTTAAGAAAACTATTCCTGAAGGTAACTACTTTTCAATAAACAAGTTTTTCCAATTGTTGAGAATGAGTCGATTTGAGTTACTTTAAGACACAAATGCTCTTCCAGTCGCAGAACGAAGTAGGATTCAAATTTCTTGCAGTACTTGTTTATTTGATTTTGATCGTACCATGAAGACAATCATTGCATGGGAATATTCACGGACTACCACTATCCTCAGTGAATTACACCTGTAATTTTACATTCTGAATGCATATTTTGCCTCTTTCTAATGTTGTCATTCAGTTTTTCTTCTACTACATGAATCATAGTCACTCTCCTTGCTTGTGTGGGTTGTTTTCGGCATTGAATGTTACACGGTAGGGTTTTCTAACTTCTTCACTTTTTGTACCTCAAGACAGCCCTCTGATTGACCGTCTCCTTCTTCCTAACAATGTACTATATAAAATGTGTGGGTTTAAAACAAGTAGAGAGCGAATAGGGACGAGGAAATAATCCCTCTCTTTTTGAATACCACATAAATTTTAAAAGCCAGTAGCTACGTTCTGTGTGATCAGTCAATTCTGACTATTACTCCAAAGACTCTTGATTTTTTTACCCCACCAGTTTTGTGATGAACACTCAAAATGTAGTAAATCAACAACCTGACGATTTCCATTTCGATTGGAACAAAAAACAAATATTTAATTGAAAAACAGGTGTTAAACATTATTTTTGGACACACTTGCAAATATGTACGCATATACACGAAATGTGGGTTTTTTATCGCACTAGAAATAATCGTCTTAAAATATTACTGAGAACAGTTTGGTTCTAGGCGCATTTTTTGTCTCCTGAAACGTCTGTCCGTCTTTATCAAACTTAGTGGTGCAGTTTCACAACACTAATTTTTTAATGCTGTTCTTGATTGATTCAGGTTTTTGAATTCATCTGCGCTACAACGCTTTGGCTGCGGTCTGGACGCAAAAGTAAGCCAATCCAGTTTCAGGTCTTTATTCATTTTTTAACTTCTTTTGCTCGTGTCCTGCCTGCAATGTAAGTCAGTAGGTGACGTCCAGCCACGCTTCATTTATGTGCTGAATTTCCTACTTCAGATGAAAAGTCAAAGTCCACCGAAAGTCTGTACTGATCGATCAACGCGGACAAGGATCGATCCAGGGACTAAGTCCATCACGACGAGACTGCACCATGCGAGCTCTACAGGATGGTCCATCACGACGAGACTG